TAATATCAACTGAGGGAAAGATTTACAGCCTGTAGAGGATTTGACCTTTTAGAGCTACCTATGTCTTGATTCGTAAATCTTTGATCATATAAATTTTCTCAAACAATTTTTAACTTCCAGTTTTTTCCCCAAGAAATATTGGTGCATTCTTCTTCTGTATTTCAAGTTCCAGCAGGATATTGGGTGATCATAGTTCCTAGTTAATTTGTTTTTTTTTTTTTGTTAACTCTGAACTAATAAAATAAAGATTTTCTTACCTTAAAAATGAAGATTGTTATGTTCCGACAATCATCGCCGGAACTGTTATATTCCGTGCTAAGGGAATAAATAAGTAATACCAGCTGGATACTAGAAAAAAAGATTATTGTACATAACAAGTACAATATGAAAATACAGTACAGTTATACACACAGGTCAATCTAGTAACGAGTGTCACTAATTGGAAGGTAGGACGTGCTTGCGTCTTATTACTCCCTATACTCCCTCCTGTGTTCCAGTCTCTCGTAGAGAGTTGACTTTATAGGTACTTACTATCTATTGCGTAACCATTCATGGGGGTGCCGGGTTATTCCATTACATCAAAGAGAGAAACAAATATTGCCGACATTGAGAATAAAAATATTAAACACATTTGTAAACGGTTGTCATCAACACCTGTCTCCTTAGTGTTTTATTATCTGTTGTGTGTATATATATATTTTTTTTTGTTTTTTTTTATATGCATATTCATTGGTGCAAGGTTGATACACATAGCTACACGAAGAGAAAAAGATGAATATATTAAAAGAAAAAAAAATTAACTACTTAGTTCTAATATATGTCAGATGAATTACTTTTTTCGTCGACCATTTAAGAACAATTGACAAGTTACACTTGCTATGAAAATTCTTCGCAAAAACATACAACTACATCTTGAGATGCTAAGCACAACACTTTCCTACTTTAAGAGTCAGTATATTAAAAAAAAAAAGCCCTGAAACTAAGATTCTCAAATTACCTTTTCTTTTTATATAAATATTCCTTATTAAGCGTCGCTCTGGTGGAGTACAAAGTCAGTATTAGAAAACCAATGACGACGAAACATAGTACTTAGCAGTAACAAGACATTTTAACATTTTTTTTAAACTGCCACGCTCCTTCAGGATTTGTGGGTGATCATAGTTCTCTGCTGGTTTCTTTTCCTGAGAATTTTCATGCATTTCTGAATGCGTTGCACTTTCAATGGTGCCAAAGACAGACATTTCTTTCTTCCAGACTGGTCGCCAAGCAAAATTAGAGAGCCAAGTCTACTTCAGTATCTGTCTATATTGCTGAGATGGGGTATTATGTACACTATTTACCTTATTCGGACTATTGTCCTCATCTTTGTCGCCATATTTATTACAATGTTTCGGCCTTTCAGTATCTTTCTATATTTCTGAGATGAGGTATTATGTACACTATTTATATTATTCGGACTATTGTCCTCATCTTTGTCGCCATATTTATTACAATGTTTCGGCCTCTCAGTATTTTTCTATATTTCTGAGATGATTTATGAGATGACTATTGTCCTCATGTTTGTCGCCATTTTATGTAATGTTTTGGCCTTTCAGTATTTTTCTATTTACATTATTATGTACACTATTTACATTATTCGGACTATTGTCCCTCATCTTTGTCGCCATATTTATTACAATGTTTCGGCCTTTCAGTATCTTTCTATATTTCTGAGATGAGGTATTATGTACACTATTTTATATTATTCGACTATTGTCCTCATCTTTGTCGCCATATTTATTACAACCTTTCCGCCTTTCAGTATTTTTCTATATTTCTGAGATGAGGTATTATGTACAATTATTTACATTATTCGGACTATTGTCCTCATCTTTGTCGCCATATTTATTACAATGTTTTGGCCTTTCAGTATTTTTTCTATATTTCTGAGATGATGTAATTTGTACACTATTTACATTATTCGGACTATTTTCCTCATCTTTGTCGCCATATTTATTACAACCTTTCCGCCTTTCAGTATCTTTCTATATTTCTGAGATGAGGTATTATGTACACTATTTACATTATTCGGACTATTGTCCTCATCTTTGTCGCCATATTTATTACAATGTTTCGGCCTTTCAGTATTTTTCTATATTTCTGAGATGGGGCATTATGTACACTATTTACCTTATTCGGACTATTGTCCTCATGTCTGTCGCCATATTTATTACAATGTTTCGGCCTTTCAGTATCTCTCTATATTTCTGTACAAGACAGACAGACACGCACATACACATACACAGACATATATATGTGGGTACGTGGTCACTACGTTGATCTACAATTGATATTTGACTCTTAAATATATATATATATATATATATATATATATATGTGTGTGTGTGTGTGTGTGTGTGTGTGTGCGTGTTAAAATCAAATGTTGATTTTAACATGGATCTGTCGTAGGATTACGTAGTAATAACACCATATGAAAATATACACTTTCCTCTTTACTAAGTGAGTGACAAACAAAACTCTCTCTCTCTCTTCTATATATTTCCTTTCCTTCCTTCTATTGTTCCTATCCTCGGTAACGGACATGAACCCGGACTTAGTGTATGTGGATCAATGAACGTCATAAAAATCAACCAATGACAACACGTCCCTCCAAAAATCAGACGGGAAACACAGATGTGTCGGCCCCAATAAAAAGAAGAAAACCACGTACGAGATTAGAGACGCCGCAGTGGAGAGGAATGTGATTCGAGGTAGCAGTTCTAGACGCAAGGGTTAGTGTTTCCTCGGCTGTGGGTTTGACCTGACGTACAAATCCAGAAGAGAAAGAAGAAAGGATGAATGCAACGAATTAAATCACGTCAACCATAAGGAACACAGCAACACCTGTATGAACTCTCAAATCACACAAAAAAACACTGTAACCAAATGGAGTCAACAATAAATGGTACCATAGACAGTAAATTTGGCTTTTACTTCATTTCTGTATACCATAGATAAAATTCAACAGGATGATAAAGCAAAGAATAAATAGGAAAAAAGTATCAATTTAACATGCTTCACTTTTATTAACGCTTCGTCAGTGTTTGAGAGAAAAGGGCAAAAAGCAGAAGTTCAGATATTTTCAATTTTGCGTAGTTCGATTCTCATTGGTCAATCATGTATCAAGTGGATTGGATGATAACGTGTATTCGTAATTTTGTATGTATATCTGTCTAGTTGGAAGAAATCTGATGTTTTCAGTTTTGTGTAGCCTGTCAGCATAATGGGGCGGACTTCTATTAATCTGGGAACGTTTTTCTGAGAGAGACAGAGAGAGAGACAGGGAGATAGATATGAACATAAATAGATAGATAGATATAAAGACACAGATAGATAGATAGATAGATAGATAGATAGATAGATAGAAAGGATATGGATACACAGATAACTAATGGACAGAGTGATATATATATATATATATATATATATATAGATAGATAGATAGATACATATGAACACGCAGATAGATAATGGATAGACTATATATATATATATATATATATATATATATATATATATATATATATATATAGATAGAGACATAGAGAGAACACGAGAGATAGACAGATAATGAACACAAATATGAACAGATTGAGCAATATAAATATGAATCTCACATAGATAGACATATAGATAGATAGATAGATAGATAATGGAAAGACTGATATATATATATATATATATATATATATATATATATATAGAGAGAGAGAGAGAGAGAGAGAGAGAGAGAACCTGACTGCCATAAATATTAACAAAATGTGTGCTTGTATGTGTATGTGTATGAAAGAGAGAGAGAGAGAGAGAGAGAGAGGGAGAGAGAGAACCTGACTCCCATAAATATTAACAAAATGTATGCTTGTGTGTGTATGAGAGAGAGAGAGAGATAGAGAAAGAGAGAGATAGATAACAAAGAAGGAGAAAAAATTAAAAGAGGAAAGTGATGTTTTAGACAGCTGACGTTACTGAATATTTGTGTTTAAATTCAATATTTTCACCTACGCGAATGCGATGATCAAGTATAATGTGTTCTCTTAATAATCGATCTTTGTCCTAATGGAACGTGCGTGACAACCTTATTCTTTTCGGGATCAGTAATGATATATATCCGTTCTTTCAAGACTTAGTATTTCGTGCCAAAAGGAATTTCCCAAATCAGTATGATTTTTTACCTTGCATTCAAAAAGGAATTTTCTTTGCTGATTACGATTTTATGACATTAGCAAAAAATTTTTCAAAGACAAAAAAATTAAAATAATTGTAATGAAAGACAATCGTCTCTCTTCTTCATCCATTAATCGCATGTTAGTGGCAGATTAGTCCGTAATATGTTATCGATTATTCTGTAATAAGAATAGAGGTAATTACAAAACAATTTTAACTATTCTGCTATTTTGAAGCTCCGTGGAAAATTTATTAAAAGTAAATGGTCTATAAGGAATTGAATTACCAAATCCACGCATAAATTACTCCAGCTTTAAAAGAGTCAGTTCAGATAATAAAAAAAACAAGAACAAAAAACGGAGCATTCCTGTCCTATGTCCTTCAAGAATGTCACCCCGACAATCCCGGCTTATGGTCACATCACATTGAAATGCCGGTTTCCCATTCGATCACCGAAGTTAAGCAACGTCGAGCCTGGTCAGTACTTGGGAATAGTAGGTGTGTGAACTTGGATGTGCGGATTGTTTTAATAGATAACTCGGAATTGGTGAGCTGAGTTCCAATTCAGTTTGGGTTCACTATGTTCGATTACTCGTAAATACTCTTCGGAAAGGAATTTACCACGTATTTTCTCCCCAGCTATGGGTTAATTAGTAATGACGTCTGAAAATATTGGTTAAAATGGTTTCGTTTCTTTCTTTTTTTTCTCATTGATCTCTTAGATATTTTATCGCTTAAATCGGGACATTACTCAAATTATTATTTTGCTACAATTATGAATTTTCTTTACTTGGAGCTTACGGTCATATCACGTTGAAACACAGGTCCTCATTCGATCACCGAAGTTAAGCAACATCGAGCCTGGTCAGTACTTTGATAAGTGAGCGCTTGGAAATACTAGATGTGTGAACTTGGATGTGTGGGTGGTGACACAGAATTACTAATCGAGCCGAGTTACAATTCCATTCGAATTCGTTTAAAGGTATGTACCACGTCTTTTCTCCCCAGCTATGGATTAATTAGTAATATCGTCTGTAAAAATGGTTGAATAAGGTTTCGTTTTTTTTTTTCTTTTATCTTTTCGTTATTGTATTGCCTAAATCACGACATTAGTTTTTTTTTATACAATTATGAATTTTCTTTCCTCGGAGATAACGCTCACAGCGCATTGAAACACCGGTTCTCATTCGATCACCGAAGTTAAGCAACGTCGAGCCTGGTCATAACTTCGATAGGTGACCTCCTGGGAATACTAGATGTGTGGGTGGTGATTCGGAAATTGCTAATCGTTGAACTGTGTTCCAATTCCATTTGGATTCGTTAAATGGTATGTAGCACGTCTTTTCTCCCCAGCTATGGATTAATTAGTAATGTCGTCTGCAAAAATGGTGAAAAAAGTTTCGGTTCTTTCGTCTTTCTTTTTTTTCCCTTTCATCTCTTCGTTATTGTATTGTCTAAATCACGACATTACTCTTTTTTTTCTTTGATACAATTATGAATTTTCTTTCCTCGGAGTTTACGGTCACATCACATTGAAAGACCGATTCTCATTCGATCACCGAAGTTAAGCAATGTCGATCCTTGTCAGTATCTTTTTTTAAAAGCATTTCACCCCAAGAAAGTCAGGAGTGCCACTGGTTTACAAGGGGCTATACAGAATTAAAAAGAGAAAAACTATGTATAGGAGGAATGAGGATCTAGATAGGTGACCGTTTAGAAATACCAGGCGCTTTGAACTTGGATGTGTCCGTGGTGTAATGAATAATGGCTCGCAATCAGTGTTTCAATTACGGAGTTCAGACTCTTGGGAAAGTTTTTCTCCCCAGATATGGATTAATTAGTAATGATACCTGCAAAAATGGTTGAAAAGGTTTCCTTTCGTTTTCTTTTTTTTTCCTTTGATCTCTTACTTATTGTATCGCTCAAATGGACATTACTCAAATTGAGGAAGCACGTTGAAACACAGGCTCCCATTCAATCAATAAAGTTAAGCAACATCGTGCCTGCTCAGTATCTTTTTTAAAGCATTTTCCCCAAGAAAGGTGGGAGTGCCAAGGGTTCTGAATAAAAAGTAAGGAAAAACAATAATGGCTCGCAGATGTTATCGGACGAAATCATTTTAAATTCACTTACGCGCAAATGCCCTTGAGAAAGCCATGAATCCATCTCTTGTCTTCCCATCTATGGGTTAATTTATAAAACTCGTATCACTAAATCATTTTAAAAACCCTCTTTACAAAAATACGTCAATGAAACCTGATTTTCTACAAACTGATTTCTCACAAAGACATTCTATTCATTCGAATCCATCCTAAAAAATCTTGTCGTCATTAAATAACCCATTGAGGTGTTGATATGCCGTAAAACAAAATAAATCCAAAACCGAAAATGCCACTAGGACGTAGGCGGTTACAGGGAATGGAAGAGAACAAGAAGAATTTACTGAGTAAAAATAAAGAAAAATAATAAAGGAACAGTATTCATGAAGATAGAAGATGGCGATAGACATTGTATTTACATTTTTGAAGATCGTAGTTGGCAAGGAAGCAAGAAATCGGAAGGAAGTTCCACAGACGAGATGTGCGAGAATAGAACTAATGCTTGCATCTAGCTAGTTCAACAGTAAATTAGTTAACAATAACAGGTGAAGTGAGGAGAAAAGACAAAAAGAACAGGATTCAGGAAGACAGAATGTGGCGATTGGCGTTGCATTTAAATTTATGAATATTGTAGCTGACCGGTAAGCAAGAAACAGAAAGAGAGTTCCACAGGTGAGAAGTGTGGGAGAAGAAACTATCAGAATAGAACTTACGGTTGCATCTAACTAGTTTAACAGCAAAGTGGTGACACCTAGTTGGCAATCTAGTAGCAGTGTTAAATTCATGCCGTCGAGTGACTAAGAACAGTACAACTGCTGAAAATGTTTTCAGAAAAGGCAGAGAAAAGCCACGTCAAGTCGAAAATGACGGAAGTCGAGATGCCAGGTTTAGGATCGATTACATTACAGGCACTTCTTTAAATTTTTTTTTCAAGAAATTATTTGAATTTTGTCAAGTTCGAGCTGCCCAATTCTCACTTTCTAGCCTTGACAGAGGCCAAAACCGTTTACACGGCCTTGTAGGCGATTAATTACTTTCCACTCTACAGCCCCTCCCCTACAGACGCAAAATCGCAAGCCTCTCGCTACACTATGGCCATTTCGTGGGAAACTTTTCTCTAGTTCCACCAGTTCAGACTTTTACATCTAAGATCCGCCGAGCCATGTGCACAGGTACGAACCATCCGCATTCGTTTTGTATTTCTTGAATCTTAATGAAATACCCTTTATATATTTGTTCTTTTTGTTTCCATTTTTAGCATCCTTCTGTAGAACCATATTTCCATTGTTTTAAGTTCCTTCTTTCTCTGTGTGGAGATTGTCCAGAATTCCCTGCCATATAGGAACATCAATATTGCATAACATTTTACTTGGCTAAGCCATTGTGTCGCCCATTTTCTGCGCTCTGTCAGACCCCTCTTTGTATATTTAAACCTTTGTACTGGCTTGTTTTTTTCGTGTCTCCAAAATATTCAAGCTCGCAAGATAGGATATAATGTGCGGTGTTTTCCCCCGTCTTTTTTGTTTTCAATCTGTTCCCTGAGTATCAAATTTTGCAAGCCCTCTTTTCTTATTATGTGTCCTTGATATTTCAAAAGTGTCCTTTTTGTTTCCATTTTCTCTAAAACTTCCTTGTTGTCCACGTGTTCCTTCCATGCTATTCTCATCATCCTTCTGTGGAGCCACATTTCTTTTGCTTTTTTGTAATGTCAACGAATACTCGTTGTCACTTTCATAATGCTCGTTGTAGTACTGACTTTGTAATCGCAGATACAACTATAGTAACGCCTTCGAATAACACTAGCACTAATAGTACTTGCTCGATAATACTCGCTCGAATGATGACCACTGAATAGTGATCAAAATAGTAAGCCGTATAGTTATGATATTCACTAACCGCCTCACGCCGTCGGATGTGGCACAAGACCGAGTTTATAGTGGGGTATCCGAGCCTGTATGCTCAGCCAAAAATTCCCCTAGACCCCCTAAAAATGGGGTCGGGTAGCTGTTTCCCCAGACAAGACTCTGCCGTTTGACATAGCCTCGTCTGGGGAGCCTGTATACCTGGAGGCAGTGAGTTTAACCAGCACACTTCCGAAGTAATTTGGATAGTGAGATATTCACATATCCTCCCACGCGGTCGGATGCGGCAGAAGGCCAAGTTTATTGTGAGGTATCCAACTCGGTCAAACATTCTTCGTAGACCCAGTAGAAACGGGTTCGGGTAGCTGTCTACCACTACAGACGAGATTCTGCCCTTCGGCAGAGTCTCGTCTGGGTTCCTCTCTGCCCAGTGGCAGAGAGTTTGACCAGAACACCGAAGTAATTCGGATAGTAAGATATTCACTAACCGCCCCACGCAATCGGATGCGGCACAAGGCCAAATTTATAGTGGGTATCCGAGCCTGTAGGCTCGGTCAAAACTTCCCTGTAGACCCCGTAAAAACGGGGTCTGTTAGCTGTCTACCACCCCAGACCAGGCTGTGCCGAAGGGCAGAGTGTCGTCTCGCAGACAGTTTAACCAGCACACTCCCGAAGTAATTCGAGGAGTGATCACTTAGACACCACGCTAATTCCTATATATACATTTCCTTTACCATCGCATGATTCAAAATGAGATCGCTTGTATTTGCTCTCTGGTTATCTGTGTTCAAACTCCAGGCTCGGCAGCGACACTTTATTCCTATATAACATGCTTCATGTCACTTCTTTAACTTTGAGGGTATTGTCTAGCATTCACTGCCATATAGGAGGACTTATATCTTGTAACAGTTTAGTACTCTTTTCTTTGTTCTAAACGAAATAATTCTGTTCCTTAATACTCTGCTTAGCTTTTGGATGGCATCTTTGGCTATCCCAGTGCGCCTTCTACATCTTCAGGTTACTGATGTTTGGTTGGATAATTGTAAAAGTTTTAAGTGGAAACTTCACATTTAGTATCCCGTCTGCTCCACGATGATCTTTTAAATTTAGCCCGAGGAGTTTCAGCGTGTTGACGTTACCACACAATGATTTAATCTGATTGCTTTTCCTGCCTTTGTTGTTTTAATCCCAAAGTTTCAGATACGTTATCCTAAGCTTTTCTTTCTGCCTGAATGTATAAGGATTTACTTTGCTTTCTTTATCGTCTATCCCACCCCGTTCTCCTTTATTTATTTCTTCCCTGTTCTTTCTTTATTCGATCTCTCTCCTTTTTCTTCTTCTTTTACCCACTCTTTCTTCCTTTGATTCTTTAGCTTTTCTTTTCTATCATTTGATCACTCTCGCTTCTTCTTCTTCTTCTTCTTCTTCTTCTTCTTCTTCTTCTTCTTCTTCTTCCCTTTCTCTGCTTCTTTTCATTTTTTTTGTTTTACTTTTCGTCTCTTCCTTATTTGTTCACCTTTTGTATATTTCTTTTTTCTTTATTTGATCACTGCTGTTTTGCCAAGATAGTTCAGTGCGAGACACCATCAGACAACTAACAGGCCCGTTGGAAAACCGCATAGGCACCGTGAAGAAGAGGAAGTTGAAATGCTATGGGCACCTCTTTAGAGCCAACAATCTTTCCATTTCTATCCTACAAGGGATCATTTTGGGCAAATAAAAGACGAAAAAACCGGACAAAAAACGTGCTAAAAACGTCACTTAGTGGAATAGACCCTTCACAGAACTTCAGATATGGCACACAGCCGATATATACGGAATACATCTCTCCCAGATAGCGGTTAAATAGTAAGACTTGTATATGGAAAAAAATGTTGCTATTTTCAAAACCAAAAAAAAAAAAAAAAAAAAAAAAGAATGCAAAACGATAGTTAAAGAAATAT